GTCCTCTAATAAACATAAATGGCATTTTAAACACACACTCAACAATGTTTACAGCCGTATTTGTAAAACCAACCGTGGTTTAAACAGTTCACTGCTTACTCATTTGCATTTTCACTCACACACACACCGTCTAAAAATAGCTCCAGCATTGCCTCAAACTCCTTTCACACAGAGATCTCTTATTTTATATTACAACGACGTCTTATATTTACAACCACTGTCAGATCTGTCAGCTTTAGCGCCTACACAATTTCGACAAATTTTAAATAACCGCCCAGCGGATAAACTCCCTGAGTTTTTTGCGACCAATTCACCAGTATCAAGACTTTAACTGTTTCTGGCCTCATCTCTAAAATCCCTAACACAATTTAAAAGCGTCAACCAACCCAAACTTTGCCTGAAGCTCTATTTTTGGCGTTTCACAGCCAAGGCTTACCTCGAAATGTTAAGTTAAAGTTACACGCCCGAAGTCCAACTTCTCCTGTCCAAAAAAGCGCAGGTACCGTTCCAAACGGTAAGGAGACTCTAATTCCTAGCTTAATTCCAGGATGCCCTGTACCCCACAGTCAAGCCAAACTGAACTAACCCTCTTCGCCGAGAGGTCAATGTCGCGCGTCCATGACAAGGAGGGAGCGTAACCTCCGGGCTCTGCGCTTCCTAGCAGACTCGAACTGCCGTTCTAGAATAATTTATAATACTTTGAAACAACAATCAACACCCAACACAAGTGTATGACTGAGGCAGATCTACCCTGATGGACAATGGGGACTCTAACCCACAAATTGACCAACAAAGGTCTGACCTAATGACCAACCGGGACTTTAACCCACAAAATGACCAAATACCCTACCAAACTACTTGAGACTCTAACTCAATTTCTTTGGGACTTCAACCCAGTATTTAAACTTTTCCTGGCAGACTCTAACTGCTTTAGCAGACTTTACTGCTTTCATTTCTTCTTTCTTCTTAGCAGAACTCTAACTGCTTCAACTCATGAGATTTTTCATCAAAATCAAAACAGACATCCACCAGTAACTTCAGTGAGTAGACTTAAATTTTATCATATCCAATTTGGCACACTTTGGAAATAATTCAACAGGTAGTGCCTTACCTTTTGGATAAGCCGGCTTATGCCCACTCACTTCGACCACTGGAATTCATGTCTGCCCGTCAGACCACCTCAGAGACCACCAAATTTCTCCATCTAAACCTCCAATTCTCCCTCCTCAACCACCGGACGAAGCCCCCAAATGTTAAGGTTCAAAATTGAGGAAGGAGAGTACACACCACCCATGGTCCAGAGGATCTCGGTCAAACAATGATTTTAATGAACACACGTGTGGGAAGACACTCTGTACGCAGACAGCCAGTAGTCCTCGACTTAATCAAAGCATGAACAGATATTTTATAGCATCAGGGTTTGATTTACTGACGCCCCTTCATGCGTCACAGATACATTTTATACATAGATCAGACTTTTACCCCAGAAGATCATCTTCTATTTTCATGGCTAGCCCTTCCTGTCTACCTTTCAGTTCTTATCTTGTTCCTCTTTCTTGCCGAGACACCAAGAAACGGTTCCTCTTTTACCGAGACACTTTTGCAGTTACAACCAGACATGAGTAATCTCTCCTCTAAATAAATCTAACTCTATGTGTGTGTGTCACGACCTCACATGCTCTTTGTCAATTCACCTGTTGCACTTCTTGACCTTTTACCAGACCAGAGGCTCACTGAGACTATGTGTATGTCTTCTACTAAATAAATGTTTTAACCAAGAACCTCTACTAAAACCTTAATATAAAATGATCTGATATATAAGTGTTTTGTAAGCATGTATTGCAATTCCTTCTATGGCTCCAAGTCACTTGCACAATAGATTGTCCGAACATCGCGCCGAACAAAGCTTCCGACCCCCAATTAATTGACCGAGCTCCAACTCTTTAATAAGCACAGATATGCATTGTGTATAAAATAGTCATAACTGCTTAAGGCCTTCTTAAAGCTATCTGTTACATTGTTAAAGCCTCGTCTTAGCCTGCGGCTCAAAATAACTATCTGCTTTCACTTCTGCATACAACTTCCTGTCAGCCTGCAACTCAGTCTTTCTGAAAGAGACACTGTTTAAACCTCTGAATGCAATATCCATGCTGCAGATTATATTATTAATGCAATGGTAATAATGACAATTATTAAACAATAGCAGTAAAATAATTTCCCTTCTCCACAGTACATAGGGTAAGTCCTCATCCTTATCCCATAGTGATTCAGGTAATTCCTCAGGGCCTTGGAAGCGTGGCCATGCCCAGTCTACCTCATCAATGTCGGGAGAGTCGCCGAAATATAAAAAATCTTCCTCATTGTCGGTGGCCATAGTCCACAGATGTGGTGGTGAGGGGGGTGCGCTCCACTCTGACACTGGTGAATTCGGAGCCTCTTCACTCCAATCTTCAAATGTAGGGTTCATGGCTGGATAATTTTACTGCTGTAAAATTAGCATTTTGTCATATTTAAAATATAAATCTAATATAATCTGTTTCTTAACGTATGTTCTTTAAAATACAGTGTGTGTTTTTTATATATCACAATTATAATAATCCATAATTATGTGGATATGCATATGGCATCATTTTTAGTGAAATATAATCCCCCAGAAAGGCAGGAAAACCCCTGTAAATTACTTTAAAACTAAATATGTTTACTAAAACGGTGGACAGAGCTACAGACCCATGACACCATTACCCAGTTAGCTAGCAGCTATGACCAGCACTACTTGTGCAGTTAATAAAAGGATAGGTAATGTTTTTCATGCTGTTACACACACAGCACGCTCATTTGTTTCGTCAGTTGCCACAAGACAACTTACCAACATGTACATAATAATCTAATACTCCTCTGTGTGCTATAGACTACAGTGTACGCTGTACACCTACTTACTGGTTTTGTTGCATCAGTCTGTGTCTCTTAGTTAATTTGTATTTCTCCTACAGCTCCGGACCTCAAAAATGCACGTGCTCTTTGTGAGCTCGTTTCCGGCTCATAACCACCGCTCTGCCATCCAGGGCGATCATTGGTTAATGGTCGTCATGTGACTGATACAAAACGGATCCTTTTATTTAGCAAAACTTTGATTAATAGTTAGGGGTGCTGAAAAAGAGTCCTCTTCACACACTAAGGTTAATTATGGAGTTCCACAGGGTTCGGTGCTAGGACCAATTCTGTTTACATTATACATGCTTCCATTAGGCAGTATCATCAGAAGGCATAGCATACATTTTCGATTGCTATGCAGATAACCCCCAACTCTATCTATCCATGAAGTCAGACAACACACATCAATTAGTTAAACTGCAGAAATGTCTTAAAGACATAAAGACCTGGATGTCCTCTATTTTTTGCATTAAAAAAAAATTAGTTTTTAGCATTTATTGCTTCTAGGCTGGACTACTGTAATTCAATATTATCAGTATGTCCTAAATATTCCCTGAAAAGCCTTCAGTTTATCCAAAATGCTGCAGCAAGAGTTCTGACAGGGACTAGAAAGAGAGAGCATATTTCTCCTATATCAACACCTTCTCACTCCCAAAGTGTAATATTTTATGCTAGGTGACAAGTCATTGGTATATTACAGTTCTGGGCCCCCAACAAATCCTTATATTATGAAATCGGAAAAATGAAGAAACATGAGAACTGGTTGGAATTAATCTACATATGTATGTTCATTTTACTTCAATCGCTCTGGAAAACACTATGAAAAGTCATTAAAGTTGTGGTTAACTTTCAATTTTAATTCAATTCAATTCGATTTTATTTATATAGTGCTAAATCACCACAACTGTCACCTCAAAGTGCTTCATATTGTACAGTAGATTGTACAATAATAGATACAGAGAAAATCCCAACAATTATATAACCCCCTATGAGCAGCACTTTGGTGACAGTGGTGACAGGAAGAAACCTGGCAACATTAGGGACAAGGTTAGCATTAGAGCTGGAATACATGGCTGGAATGTGTATTACCACGGGAGCGTCATTCTACTGGATTTTATCCATAACCCGTGGAAGGTCACATTTTCACATTCCTCAGGAATGCCGCAGTACATGACAAAAAACTCTTGTGTGTATATATTTTGTGAGTTTCCCGTTGTCCCTTGTCAGTGCATCTGCAAATCTCCCGACAATCCCTCTTTGTGTTTCCATGTTTCCTCATTAAATTCTAATGTATCTCAAGGCATTCCCAGTGTTCCAGGTTTTACTTTTTTCTAGCTTGAGGTCCGTGTTTGTCCTCTCTTAAAAGAAACCCACAAACTGCAGCTGCAAATTGTGAGAAAAGGAAACTATTTCAGTTCAGTGATATTATTTAATCTGATTAAAAAGATATTTAGTAGAAACAAATCTTAAAATCCGTTATGGGACATATTAAAGCTGAATATAGGTTAGTGTTTTCAAATTTTGTAAAACTGTTTTATTCAAAATTCTATTATAGTGTCTTAGTTAAAGTTAACAGTTTATTATCAAATTACACAAAGTTCAGATACACTCTTAGCTTTTGTCCTTCAGAGACGGACAAAATACTGCAAAAGATTAAAGAAAGTGAAAAGCACACTTTGAGGAGTCAGAACAGAATAGCTTAATTAAATTGAACAAATCAAGGCCAACATGAAAGGATCCAAATTTTTCCACTCTGTCTGAGTCATCAGAAATATTTCAAGCAGTCATTCAGAGCTCTCAAGTTTTCTTTTTGGTAAATGGACTGATTCTTATATAGCGCTTTTCTACTCTCCTGGAGTACTCAAAGCGCTCTATACAACATGCCACATTCACCCAATCACACCCATTCTCACAACCACTTTATCTATACTCAGTGCTTTCTAAGTACATTCACACACATTCATACTCCGATGGATGCATCGGAGAGCAAGTTGAGTTGGATACATGACATACAGACTGGAGGAGCCAGGGATCGAACCACCAACCTTCCGATCAGTAGGTGACCTGACCTAGAGAGAGATCTTTTTCCCATATCCTGTTAGTTTGTCAAAAAGGTTTGGCTCTGGTTTGTTTGCTTCAGCCTCTCTCTTCTTCATCTTCTCCAGTTTAGTGACTTTCTCTGTGTCTCCTTCCTCCTTCATCTTCTCAATCAGGAAGTCCAAGTGGCCAAGAGTGGACGCTGAATCAGTTTTCAGAGCGATCTGCTCCAGTCTGACAAGATGCTGGTAGGACTCATCCAGTAATGGTGACTTCTTTGCTGTCAGTTTGTTCAATTCCACTTCAAGATTTTCAAAAAGGCTTTGCTTGTTCAGACCTTCAGTTTTATTTATTTCATATTGTTTTTTCATGTCTTCATTGGTCTTCTTAACGTACCTTTTCTTGGTCACATAGATCCACTTGTCTTTCACATGAGCTGATACAGGACACTTCCTGGTACATGCAGTGCAGTGCCCATTTTTCATGATCTCACAGCTTCCAGCGGACCAGGCCACTTTGCATCCAGGATGGTGACAGTTCTCCTCACAGACTGTACAGCAGACAGCTCCTTCATAAAAACCCAAGCCCCACCACCCACCATCAATGGGTTCTTTGTCTTTGTAATTCTCTGGAACTTCTACAGTAAACTTTTCATTATTCTCCATCTGCTTTCTGTAATTGTTCAGAGCTTCTTTTGTCTCTGTGATTTCTTTCTGTTTTTCTTCAATGAACTTGATTCTCTCCTGCAGGTTTTGGATGCAGGCTTTCAGTCTGATTTGTGAATTCAACACTTCAACCGTTGTCTTCAGTTTCTGAGGAGGAGTTTTTTCCAGGAAGACTTTGAATTGATTCATTCCTCTCTCTGTCACCCTCCATGCTGTGTTCAAACCAAACTCATTTTCCTCAGTTATTTCTGTGTTCAGGCAGTTATTAAACAGGAAGTGAGCAGGCAGATTCTTCTCATTTTTAGCACATTTAATTTTTGCTGCTTGAAGAGCCTCAAGAACATTTTTAGCTGGCATTCCATCTGAGTGTGTGATCAGAGCTACAATGTTTTTCTCCACATCTTTTCCAAACAGAGACATCAATGAATCAAAGACATACTTCAGTCGGTAACTCACTCGATTATCTGTTGCCTTCATCACCAAACAAACTGCATGAACTTCATGAACTCCATCCTCTGATTGAAACAATTCAAATAACCTTGTAATGACGATGTCATCTTTTGCAGTCCCTCTGGTGTTTCCATATCCAGGAGTATCGATGATGGTCAGAGAGTAGGGAAGAGTTTGATCTTTAACATCAAAGATCTCGTACATGATTACATCTGGCGTCTGACTTTCTGACTGACATTTCTTCTTCGCCTCCTCTATGATCTGAAACCAGACTTTATCGTCACCCTTCACTCCCATGGTGTAGTTGACCATAGAGTTGATCAGAGTAGATTTTCCTGCTCCTGTTTCACCCACAAGTAAGATGTTTTTATTTGCCTTGTTTGTGTTTTTTTCACCAACAGTCTTTATAGTCAGAGAACCGATCTTAGTTTCCTTTGGTCTCAGCTGGTATACAGCAGGAGGTCCTGAACGGATCTGAACACTTTTGGAGATGATGTCTTTGTATTTGGGGGAGATGTTACTGATCCTAAAAGCAAAAGTAAAACATTACTTGTTTCACATTTACACTTTTAATAGATATTTTCAGTAACATTTCTATCTGCATTCAGAGTCTAAGATTGTTTTTTTGAGTTGTTTACCAGTAAAGGTTGGAACTTGTTGTACGATTTTACATATTTTAATGGCTATTACAGGTTTTTCTAGTCCCTAAAATTAACAGATACCTGGTGCATTTTTTCCTGGCTTGTAAAGTAGAAACTCACCATTTTACCAAGAGCAAGTAGTAGGCTGCTGGTTGCATAATCACATGTGAGCTGTAAGCAACATGTAAGAACTGTTGTGACATCGCCTTAAAGACAAATAATAACTCAGATGTGTGTATGTGCATGTACATGCACATGATCAATGCTTTCATTATGCCTTAAATAACACCTCTGGTCAAGACTTTGTATGAGAGGAGAAGAATTTCAAATTAAATTCTGGATTTTGAGGAATAAGGCTAAAATAGGAGAAATATGATCTCTCTTTGTAATTCACATCAACATTCTCGCTGCAAACAGAAAACATGATTGTTTTGTAATAAAAATCAGATCAAATTTTATGCTCTGGATAAAACAAATTTTAAACCTTCAACTAAGAAGAATAATGGAAATATTTAAAGACAAAATGACTATTGAAAAAATAACAGTAATCTGTTTGAATGACTTTGACATTATGCAGTGTTTGTTTGTTCTGCATTTTCAGTGGACATCACTAATGATAACTAATAATCTCCTTGCAGCTGACTCTGGACTCATCACCATCCTCATTCTCCTTGACCTTACAGCAGCTTTTCATACTATCTCCCACTGCATCCTTCTTCACAGATTAGCATCTATTGGCATCAGTTGTACAGCACTCGCACGATTTACCTCATGTCTCTGGCCGTTCAACATTTAATTACTTACTCACAGATCACCATCTACTCCAGTTAATTCCGTTGTATCCCAAGGCTCTGTTCTGGGTCCTTTACTTTTTATTATCCATCTCCTACCCCTAGGTAATATTTTTAAGAAATATAACGTCCAATTTCACTGCTAAGCAGTTGACACCAAGCTCCACTTATCTTCCAAATCCACAACTACTCTTAGACCCACATCTATTTCTAAGTGTTTAAGTGAAATCAAGGTTTAGTTTACTCACCACTTTCTCAAACTTAATGGAAATAAAACCAAATTTATTTCAATAGGCACCAAATGAAAAATGACTAAAGTCCCAACCAGAAGTCTTTCATTATCCATTGACAACTCTGTTGTCTGGACCTGTGCCTGGTTAAATAACCTGTCTCTCAACATCAGCAAAACTAGAGAAAGGATAGTGGACTACCGGAAATAACCAGTCAGGGAAAACCAGCCCATCCACATCAACGGTGTCATGGTCGAAAGGGTCAGCAATTTCAAATTTCTTGGAGTCAACATCACTGAGGTTTTCTCCTGGACCTTCACACAGACACTGCTATCAGGAAAGCTCGCCAGCGACTCTACTTCCCGAGGAGGCTGAGGAAGTTTGGCATGAACGCCAACATAACCTCAAATTTTTACAGGTGTGCGATCGAGAGCTTGCTGACGAGCTGCATTAGTTTGGTATGGAAGCTGATCAGCTGTAAATCACTACAGGGGGTAGTGAAGGCAGCAGACCACATCACTGACATCAGTCTTCCTGCCATTCTGGACATCTATCTTTAATGTTGCCTCCACAAAGCACACAGCATCATCAAGGACCACAGCCACCCAGCACATCAGCTGTTCTCCAGACTTTACAGGAGTCTGTCTGCTCGGACTACAAGACTTAAAAACAGTTTTTAGCATCAAACCATATGGCCACAACACTTATACGCACATACCATAGTTCAAAAACCTTACTCCATGTAATACTGTACTAACTACCAAATTTTAACTATCAAATCTAACTATACAAATTTTGTACTGTTCAGTTTGTACTGCTGCTCACTCCTGCCACTTTATCTCATGTGCAATATCCCATCTCCCCCACCAATACATGTCAACGGTCACATTCCTATTTAAGATTTTCTTTATCTATTCACAAGTGTACGTACGTACACACGCGCACACACACACACGTACACATACACATTTAGTCTGCTTAGTCTGTTAACTTATTTTTTTTACTAAATTTCTATTCTTTCTATTACTATATTTCGTCAAATACATTTCATTGCAATGTTGACCCTGTGCCAACTTGCATATGACAAATTAAAACTGAAACTACCTCATAAATCTCTCCATAAACTGCAGTTAGTACCACTGAACATATGACACCTCTTTTTAAATGGATCCATTGGCTTCCAGTTCACCTCCATGTCAATTTCAAGATCCTGCTTTTTACTTTCAAAGTGCTTCATGGCCTTGCTCCCCAATATAGATCTTATCTTCTCCATACATACTCACCCTATCATACACTCAGGCCTTCTTCAGCTTCCCTTCTGTCTGTTCCACATGCTCACCTGACTACCATAGAACTCGTAGCCTTTAGTTGTTCTGCCCCTTTTAAATTAACTTCCACCAAATCTTTAGACCACAAACTCTCTCACTACTTCTAAATCACGTCTTAAATGTCACGGCTACGAGTGAACTGAGGTAACACGAAGGATGACGAGCAGGGCCAACAGTGTGGAGGAAGATGGGGAGACAACACAGACAAACCAGAAACAAGCAGAAGGAAACACAAGGCTTAAATACACACAGAAGCAATCAGGGAATGGGAGACAGGACGGAAACGCAGCTGGGAGAAATCAGAGCTCACGAGACAAGGGGAAGCAAAACCAGACACACTAAGAAAAGACATAGACTTTCACAATAAAACAGGAAATTCAACACACACGCTAAGACACAGACTCAGAGATGTGGACTTTACACAGAGACATGATTGTGTTATGAACAGCTGATTGGATCAGTAAAGCGTGTTTAGGGAATATTATGTTTTTGTTGCTGCAAGTGCTTTTTATGCAATTTTTGCAAAGCCATATGTGGAAGGAAACTGTGACCTAGGACAAGCTGATGGCATAACATGTAAGTACAACTCCTCCGGTTTCATATGCACAAAAAAATTATTGCGCTATCTTATGTGCTTCCGGTTCTACAGGGATTAACAAATAGTTACGCAAAACGGAGCGTGCCCGCTCCAACCTGGTTTAAAGGGTTAAAGGCGCCTTTTAGAAAAATGTGTTGTTATTATTAGTAGTAGTAGTAGTAGTAGCAGTAGTAGTACTAGTAGTAGTATAACAACATGAATTTATGTTTGTAACATTAAACCTTTTTTAATACATTTTTATGTATAGTGATGTGAGTTTGTGAGAGTAGGAGAGCAATCATGTTCTGAAACATGAAGCTTTTATTTTATCTTCACTGTTCCATATCATACTTACGTTGCCATGGTGATGAATGAGCTCTACACTGCCAGGTGTGAGTACAGTAGGGTGTCTGGATTAAAACAACAAACATATTACCTGAAGTATCATTCAGAATTGCAATAATAGAAATAAGTTAAAAAAAAGAGAGATTTTAATTGCAGACTGAATTAATCTGCTTCTACAAATCACATTAATGGCACCTTTAATTTTTGGTAATCATTGCAGACTGAGTGTCCTGTTGCCTCATTGATAAATCTTCCTTATCACATTCATTTAAATTATTATGAGTAAATGTTAGGCTGAAGAAATAAAATCCAATTTTACATTTTCAGTGAGATAATGTATTTTTTTCTTTCAGCACTAGTTTCATCTTGATCTCCTGATCCAACATTTGGGAAGATCTTACCTGTGCTCTTAGCTTCAGGAGGCTCTCTGACTCTGAGATGGCACAAAGACTAGAGAATTGTGACAGTCCAACATTTTTATACGCTCACAGGCATCATATTGAAAGTGAACAGAGAGGAGTGAGAGATTATTATTCTCGTAAACAGACAGAGGAAAGACCATAAAACCACGGACTTTATTCTTAATCAAACAAATGTTATCAGCAGGACAGCATTGCCTGTCAATAACTTCTTTTTATATGACTGCAGTTGTCATATTGAAAGTGAAAGTGAAGCACAAAGCACAGCGAGGACGGAGAGTTCAGTGCTGTCACACGCAGGTTACATTTCATTTCACTAAATCACTTAACACACTCAGAAATTCAAAATCTTAAAGTACAACAGACAAGATATATTCTTCAACATACAATAGAAAACTAGGTAATAGAATAAAAACCCTTTATCTAGAGAACACTCATTTTTCCTCTATCAGTCCATCTTTTGCATCTCAATAACTCCCTTATGTTAAATGTAACACATAGTCCATTGAATCATACTTTGTGATCATGCTCCCACTTCACTCCCACTAAATATTTAATCACATATCAGACCCACCAAAAGAATGTCCTTCAATACATCACCTCTTCAATACATTCTGGATCTTTAAGATTCAGAATTTTTGTAATTACAGTGAAAGAGAGCGGGCATTTTTCTGGAGATGAATGACTCTCCAAAATTGACTCCTAGCATCATTCTTGTGGGAAAAAAACAGCATTTGAGAATAAATTAGAAGAAAGTGTTACAATTTTTCTCAATTGCTTACAGTTTTTACCGAATGCCTAAACACTAACTGTGATTCCTGTAGCACAGTTTCTAAAACTATTCAGACTTATAGCAAAACCACTCACTGAGTGTGCAAAACTAAAAGCACAAAAACTGCTTTGCACTCAGTTTGTAATTTTGTAACACACACTTTGCAAAACTGTAGGCACAATTCACTGCACAACACTCAATTTCCAAATTTCCAACACACTACTAGCAAAAGTATACACATGTATGGCTATCATTAACACTAATTTGCCAACTGTCTGGCACACTTTCACATGTGAAAACTTTCTTAGATAATTAGTTCACTTTGCAATCAGCCTAAGCACTATAATACAGGTAAGCTGTGTGTGCGGAGTACAATGGTGGGAGCAGAAAGAGTGAGAAGTAGAGGAGGCCGAGGAAGAGGACGTGGAGGTGAAGAAGTAGGATGAAGAGGACGACAAGGACAAGGAGGAGCAAGAGGAAGACGAGGAGGGGGCAGAGGAAGCATGTTCACTGCAGACCACGTAACCCATATAGTCATTATGGCGATTGCAAATAATCCTATACTTGGAAATAACCACTTGTGTTTGTTTTGATGTGTTTGACTAAACACCAGTACTTGAAGTTTGGATCCCTCTATGCTTATGGATCTATGACAGAAGTATGAGCTCAAACTGACATAGCCTACCTTGTGCACAGGGAAGGCAAACGCCAGATGTGTTTTGTATTCATACCATCAGTGTGCAGTTGGCGCATTGTGTGCTTAGTAGATGATGGCTTGTGTGTACTGTTTGATACGGAAACACCATTTTTACAAAGGTGTGAAGAGTTAATCTAGCTGTGTTTGCTTTTGCAAAAGAACTACAATGTTTTGATGATTGGGTGACAGGTTTTCTTATTTGTGTGTAGAGTTTTGCAAAAAATAGCCAATAGTTACAAAAAATGTGCTTAAGCAATCAGAAAAAACTGTAAGCACATTTCTTGAAACTATGCCTCGTATTCCAAAAACAGTAAACACAAATCCATAACATCTCACCCAATTTCCCAAACATTGTATTGTCAGGTCAAAATGAAGCTCTACGCTCAAAACCATTCACTGCTGTTGAAAAACCGAACTTGGCCCCCAGACATCACACAGATGACAATATAGTCTTTTATTAGACATTTGTGCAATAAAAGTAAAACAATATTTCCCAAACTGGCAAGTTATGTTGCTTGTGGTTCTTCCCATCAAAAACCTTTTCACATGATGAACACAAAAGGCGCAACCAACGTATATGCAGTGGTACATTTTTATTACAGTTTTTTCTGAATGCTTAAACCCTAACTGTCATTCTTATAGCACAATTTCTAAAACTATTAATACTTATTGCAAAACCACTCACTGAGTTTGCAAAACTAAACGCTCAAATACTGCTTTGCACTCTGTTTGCCATTTTGTAACACACACTTTGCAAAACTGTAGGTACAATCCACTGCACAGCACTCTTTTTGCGGAACTGTAAACACAACTCACTGCTTTACACTCAATTTCCAAATGATCAACACACTCCTAACCAAACTATACACATTTATGTCTATTATTTACAGTATTTTGCCAACTGTCTGGCACATGGGAAAACTGTTTTAGATAATTAGTTCACTTTGCAATCAGCCTAAGCACTATAAATAAGCTACAGGTAAGCTGTCTCTGTGGAGTACAATGGGGGAGCAGGAAGAGTGAGAAGAGTGAGAATTAGAGGAGGCCGAGGAAGAGGACGTGGAGGTAAAGAAGTAGGACGAAGAGGACGACAAGGACAAGCAGGTGAAGTTAGACGATGAGGAGGGGGAAGAGAAAGGGTAAGAAGAGTAAGAAATAGAATTACTGATGACATCAGAGCTACAATAGTGGACCATGTAATCAACCATGGCATGACCCTGGGAAGCTGGCCAACGGGTTCAGCCAAACTTGAACTGCTACACTGTAGCAAGCATCATAAGGACATTTCGAAATGAGAATCGGTTAGTACAGTCACTTTGCACTAAGATTTGTAGCACTGCCGTATGCTAATGAGAAACACAACAATACAATAGATGTAAAAATACTGAAATTGTTACTTTACAGAATTGCTAGACGACCAGATGCTGGGGCAGAGTAAGATGTTCACTGCAGACCAAGGATTCAATTTCAATTCAATTTATTCAATTTTATTTATATAGCGCCAAATCACAACAAAAGTCCCCTCAAGGCGAGAAAAACCCAACAATCATAAGACCCCCTATGAGCAAGCACTTTGGCGACAGTGGGATGGAAAAACTCCCTTTTACAGTTTTTTCTGATTGCTTAAGCACATTTTTTGTAACTATTGGCTAATTTTGCAAAACTCTTCACACAAATAAGAAAACCTGTCACCCAATAATCAAAACATTGTAGTTCTCTTGCAAAAGCAAACACAGCTAGATTAACTCTTCACACCTTCGTAAAAATGGTGTTTCCGTATCAAACAGTACACACAAGCCATCATCTACTAAGCACACAATGCGCCAACTGCACACTGATGGTATGAATGCAAAACACATCTGGCCTTTGCTTTCTCTGTGCACAAGGTAGGCTATGTCAGTTTGAGCTCATACTTTTGGCATAGGTCCATAAACATAGACAGATGCAAACTTCAAGTACTGGTGTTTATTCAAACACATCAAAACAAACACAAGTGTTTATTTCCAAGTCAAAACGAAATAGTAATTTCACTGAGGAAAAAAAGAAATCAGTCTACATCGCGTCGTCTCTCTGGATCTGGCCACAAAATTTTGTCTACATCACATGCAATGTGCAATCCTCCTTGTCCTTGTCGTCCTCTTCGTCCTACTTCTTCACCTCCACGTCCTCCTCGGCCTCCTCTACTTCTCACTCTTTCTGCTCCCTCCATTGTACTCCACACACACAGCTTACCTGTATTATAGTGCTTAGGCTGATTGCAAAGTGAACTAATTATCTAAAAAAGTTTTCACATGTGAAAGTGTGCCAGACAGTTGGCAAATTAATGTTAATGATAGCCATACATGTGTATACTTTTGCTAGGAGTGTGTTGGAAATTTGGTAATTGAGTGTTGTGCAGTGAATTGTGCCTACAGTTTTGCAAAGTGTGTGTTACAAAATTGCAAACTGAGTGCAAAGCAGTTTTTGTGCTTTTAGTTTTGCAAACTCAGTGAGTGGTTTTGCTATAAGTCTGAATAGTTTTAGAGATTGTGCTACAGGAATCACAGTTAGGGTTTAAGCATTCAGAAAAAACTGTAAGTGATTTAGTGAAATGAGATGTAACCTGCGTGTGTCAGCACTGAACTCTCCGTCCTCGCTGTGCTTTGTGCTTCACTTTCACTTTCAATATGACAACTGCAGTCATATAAAAAGAAGTTATTGACAGGCAATGCTGTCCTGCTGATAACATTTGTTTGATTAAGAATAAAGTCCGTGGTTTTATGGTCTTTCCTCTGTCTGTTTACGAGAATAATAATCTCTCACTCCTCTCAGTTCACTTTGAGATTGTTTCAATTATTATTATGAGCTTTTACTTCTGTGGCTCTTTGGAGTTGAGACAAAGCTGTGTGAAAGGCATTAGCCATGTTGCTCGGTGATAGCATAACATTCTGTTTTAGCTAGCTGAAAGGTATTGTTTGCGGGCAAATACCACAGCCTTGAAAAAAAGCTTGCATGTGAATTTTCAGTCAAACTTTTGGTCAAATACACCTAAAACAATGTCAGTTCAGTATTACCTGTTGCCTGTGTCCTTGTCTTTTGGGTAAATACTTTACACAAGTAATGGCTCAAAGAGGATTCCTTTTTTTTTTTT